ACAGCGGACAGTGACGCGCCATGTCGTTACCGAAGATAGTACTTTGCAGCTCGTCATATTGCTGGGGGGGCCTCCACATCCCGGTACCACGGTGCTTGTGGGCGCCATGTCATACAAGGCGAGGGGAGAGGAATCTTCAACGAATTCAGACAACAAAAGCCATAGCCTGCGCAGTTGCGTGTGAGAGTTTCGTGGCGAGAATCGGTTGAAAGCGAATGCGCCGCAGGCGCGCCGATGATCTTTACACAGAGAGCCCGCCACAGACTCCATTTTGCTGTTTTTTGGCACAACAGAGTTTGTGGGTCACGGTTGGATCGCGGGGGGGGGCGCGGGGTGGGGCGCGGGGTGGGTCGCGGTTGGGGCGCGTGGTGGCGCGTGGGTGGGACGCGGACGCGGAGTTGGTCGCGGGTGGAGCGCGGGGTTGGTCGCGGGTATGTTGCGGGGCGGGTCACCAGTGGGCTGCGGGGCGGGGCTGGCAATCAAGATTGATAATCAGCACCGTGGAAGCCCACTGCAGCCACCAACCAAGGGACAGTGGAACACCGTTCAGCCACGTCACTCTGACTTCTCTCCACACTGAATGACGGTTTCCTTTTTCCAGCTGTTCGTTTGGCGCGATAGGACACACTGGGGCTTTGCTAAATCAGCGAGTCTTTAATTGGCCGCGTCCGGCCAGCGCTGACAAAGCGCATGGGCAAATTCGGAATAGGCGAGCACACAACGGAACAGGTGTTTGGGGATGCGAGCCGTTACGCTTTGTGGCTTGGGTATTCTATATACAAGATAACCGGGTGCGGGCGATAATAATGTACCCCCCTTAACCACCTCTATTTTTATTATCCGCACCCAACAGTGTTTAAGTGTGGAGAGGGGCGCGGAGGCCGAACTTTATAATCCACGGAGGAAGTTGCGCATCGAAGGTTGCTATCATATCATGTTGACTAGCATCAGCATCAAGAACTCTGAGCATGGCCATGGCGGTCTCACCACACCAGCGCCCGCAATCACGAGCGTATGGCAGGGCTGTGGGCTTCTCACGAGTTCAGTTTGTCCAAGTTACGAACGTGCGGCAGGGCCATGGGATTCTCATGTTCTCCGCCGTTCCCGAGTCAGGAACGTGTGGCAGGGCCATGGGGACCTGTGCCGAGCGCCTGCCAGCAACTTGTGTAGCCTGCTGGCAAGTGCCGAGCGCCGAGCGCCTGCTGGCAAGTTGTATAGCCTCGATCCTCGAGATCTCTCGGGTCAGCCTTGTGCCGAGCGCCCAGGATCACCACCACCATCAACATCATTCATCCTTGTCTTCATCCCCAGGAAAATATTTTAGTATCCCCGACAGAAGCCCGAATTTTATAATCCCCAGGGTACTATTCTCGCCCGTGCTCGGTTATGTGCGCGTGCGATGTTGCAAGGCGGCGTAACCCCCGGAAAACCCCGACACTGATGTGAATGCTGCGTGGTGGTCGATGGAATGGATTTGCTAATCATTGTGTCTTTGAGGTGGCTTGTGTATCGGGTAACCCTTGTTTTCGTTTATCGACTTACCTTTGGGAGTGATTGGTCTTTTTTTGTTTTCTGAGTACTTACGTGTTCCACTTGTCCCGACTCACTTGCCGACTTTCTTTTGGGTGATCTGATTACGTACTACCCCCCATTCTTTCCGGTTGCTGCGCTGGGGTCACTGTTTGGGCCACTTGGGAAACAGTGATTTGTTTGCACCAGCGCGTCATCATCATAATGTATTGTTGCGCCTTCGCTTAGAAAGCGCACGCGTGGGAGGATGGTCAGCTGTTGACGCATCCTCCCTGGCGCCTTCCCTCTCCAGAAGAAAATGGCAAGTGCTCAATATGTTTGCGGACGTCGACCACTGGAGAGGAAGCGTAATGTCAAATAATTTCCAGTTGCCGAAAATGCTTCAAGCATGTTTAAAACATTAGAACATGTTTGAAACATGGTTAGTCAATGATTAACACATTTCAAACACATGTTCAACTCAATGGTAGGATAGTTAGAATGTCCATTGTCATGGCATCCATCACAATCTGTTTCCTCCTGGGACATATGCTATATGCACATGGCATGGGCCGCCCTCCCAGGCCAAGGTTCCCTGCGTTGGCTTGCGTGGGCTTGCGTATTGCAGGTTTGTGTGTGTGGCCTTCCTGGCTGGCCTGGCGGCAATTCCTGCAAGGGCGTGGCGCTGTCAGCACAGTGCTCGCTGTTGCGCCGGTCGTGTCTTCCCTCCTCTCTCTGTATATGTCTCGTTCTCTCGTTCCGTCTCCCTCCCCATCCGTGCATGAATTCTCCAGACAGTGCTTGCACATAGGGGTTTCTTACTTCTCCCCTATGGAAGTGTGCCGTGTGGCCGGTCTGGCGGCTATGTTGTCGCCGTGGCCGCCCCGTCGCCGCTTCGTCGCCGCCCGTCCTCTGGGCCGTGTGGCTGGTCTGGCGGCTGTGTTGTCGCCGTCGCCTCCCCGTCGCCGCTTCGTCGCCGCCCGTTTTCCGGGCCGTGTGGCCAGGCTGACGGCAATGGTGGCGCCGTCGCCGCCTCGTTGCTGCCTCGCCGCCGCTGCTGGATAACACCACATTGTACAACAAAAATCGCACCTGCGGCGAGCGTGCAGATCGCTGCCAACATAGATACCACATAGAAACCACGCATATTGCACCACATAGATACCACACAGATGCCACAGTGATACCACATCACTGGATTGCACCACGCATACAGCACAGCACAGGTACCACATAGAGTGCACAATCACGTACGCTGCACCACAGGAGTTGCACAACATGTATTGGTCCACATAGGTTGCACAACACACATTATACCACCACACAGGTTGCACGGCATACATTACACCACCTTTATTGCACACCATACATTGCATTGTATTGGTTACAACACACGCTGCACAAGATCAATTACGCCACATGGATTGCACAACCAAGCACATTGCAATCTATTGGTTTCGCCCGGTCGACTGCAGCATCTAGATTGCACTTCACGGTTCTCTCCACAGATTTGGCATGACGCAAATTGCATCACATATATTGCACCAAGTTGTTTTCACTGCATAACTTGCACCATGTATATTGCACCACATAGATTGCTTCGCAAACAGTGCACTGCATACATTGCAGCACATCAGCTATCCAACAGCACGCTGTTTGGGGTCCTCGCCGGCTAACACGTATACTATGTGTGTGCTTGTGCGCGTGTTTGCGTACTGTGTGTTTGGGAGTGCGTCTGTGTGTGTCTTTTGTTATGGTTACCATGTGTGTTGAGGTGTACATCCATCATGGGTAAATCGATAGAGTGATGATGCCCTGTTCAGGTGTACATCCATGGGTATAAAGAAATAGCGAAGTGGTACCACGAGCTCCTCCGCTGGGTTCACTGGCGCATGGGATTGCAGTCGGGTGCTCGCGCTCTCTCCGCTCAGTCTCCCCCTTCCATCCCCAGTGGAAGCTGGAGCATGAGCAACACGAACCATGTCTGACAACCCGATTGCAACCTCGATGCGGCTGCCGCTGGGCTTTCAGTCCGCCTGCAGTGCACATTTGATCACTATTTCGCACGGGCCTCACTCGGCCATCTTTGCCCAACCGTCTCGTCGGACCCATTCAGTCGACAGGGTTCCCTTCGCCGCTGCCCCGCCTGTATCAACACGTTTACATGGTTGCGCTGCTCTGTCTGCACTCGTCGAGTTCACTCCATCAATGCTGTCTTTCTCGTGGAGTTCTTTTCCGCAGCTTTGTTTCCCCGCATCTGGGCCCAAAGGCCTGATGATCGTCGGGTTCGTCACCCGGAAGCAGATACCGTCGAAGGGCAAGATACGAGTCGGCTATCCACGGCTTGCCTCGCCACGCCGTCTGCAACCCTGGGGGCGTGATGCAAGTGCCTCTCTTCTGATTCCCCTCTGCGTTTAACCGGCTCGTCTCCCTCCAGGCAGGTGCTACTCTCCTCCGGAGGACCCTCGTCCTCAACGCCCCAGTTCTCCTTCTCTCAGACCTTCGGCCAAGACACATCCATTCTTCCATTCCCATTCCCATCCAGCCCGTTGTCCATATTAGTCACAGGACATGAGTTTATCATCGCCTCCTCCACTGCCCCTCCTCAGTCCCTCCCATATCCTCCCACTCTGTCGCCCAACGCATCGCCGCTCTCCAACCCATTCTCCGTCCTCTCCTTTCTAATTCTTCCCAACCTCCATACATCTTCCGACCGTGCAACCTCCACCTTATATTCCAATTCTCCACCCTGTTCCACCCGTCCACCCCCCAGCTGCGCCCCGAACGTGCTGCCCTCCGGCGGACTGTCCGCCGGCATCGGCTCCGCTCCCGCGGTGGAGCCCTGCGGGCCCGTCCTTCGCAGCAGACGCTGCGAGAGAGGATCGAGACATCTTCTCCTGGTCTTGGCCGTGAGGGAAGCGGGTCCGGAGGGAAACGGGTCAGGAGGGGGAAAAACACACAGACACAATTAATCGTCGATCCCCAGGAAAATGTGCAAAACTATGGGAAGTGGGGGGGAAGACAAAAACCCAGAAAATATGGGAAAATATGGGGAATCTTTTTATTTGTGTGTATTTATCTGTGTGTCCTAAGTTCCTTTTAACGGGTCCCGAGTTTTCTTGCCGCCGTCTTCGGCTGCCCGGGGCCCTGCGCGGGCCCCAGGACGATCACAGACCGGCTCGGCAGGAAGGTCGCGTCCTGGGCGAGGTCGGTCCAGGGCCCGCTTCTCTCGGGACCTGCTTCTCTCGGGCGAAGAGAACTATGCACATGCACCGATCCTGGCAAGGCCCATCCTTGACCCAGGATCGGTGCATATGCCTTCCTGGCCAAGGTAGGAGGGCGTATGCACCGATCCTGGGCTCAGGATGGGCCTTTCCAGAATCGGTGCATGTGCATAGTTCTTTTTCCTCTATTCTCCCGTGCTGCGGGTCTCGAAGCTCGCCCGCTCCGTTCGGCGTGGCGAGTCCAGCCCCGAGGCCTCTCCGCCGCCGATGGCTCCGCTCCCGCGGCGGAGCCCGGCGGGCCCGTCCACCTTCATCATCCTGTGCGAGGGCGCCTTCTTCGAGCAGCTGGGGCTCAGCGCCGCCCTCGGCGGCGCCCCGCGGGCGCGCCTCCCCCCCCGGTGCTCCGCGGCGGGCTTCCACAGCGGCTGGGAGACCGCATGGCCCGATGGCGTGGCCAGCCTCTGCCGAAACGTTTGGCCTCCTGGGCGTGCCCTCAGATCGGGGGAGCGTAAGACCCGGGTTTGCCGGGACTCGGGTTCGCCATCGTTTTTTGACGACCGCGCCTCGGATTTTGACGAGGAGGAGTTTCGTGGGATGTCTGCAGCGGGAGGCCTCGTCAAAATGCAGGCTCGGCCTCGTCATTTTTTTGACGACCTCGTCGGGGATTTCCGAGTCCCCCGTACCCGGGTCTTACGTCTCCCCGATCCTGGGCGTGCCCTCAGAGGCAGGGGGCCTCTATGGCGCTCCGCGGGCGCCCCCGCCGGCCTCGGCCCACCGCGGTGTCTTCCGAGCGGCGCGCTGGCCACCTCCCGGCCCCCATGCCTCAACGCCCCGAGCCTCGCCGAGCCCCCCGCCCCGCGGAGCGGAGGGGCACGCTGTCCGCTCGTACAGTCGGGGCGCTGACCCAAGGAAACCTACATAAGGAACGAGGCCCCCCGTGTATCCATAAGTTGAGCCTCGGTTTTTCCCATCGAAAACCTGAGGACAACTTTAGGCAAGTTGCGAAACAACTGAGGAGCACCGCGCCCCTCCCCAGCAGAGAGGGTTCCTTCTTCAGCGCCCCGACTGTAGGGCACAGCGTGTCGTGCAGGGCGGCTTCCACGAGCAGCCTGGGGCTCCGCGCCGCCGCCGAGGCCCCGCGGGCGCGCCCGCTCCCGAGGCGTGCCTTGGCACGGCGCGGGCGTCCCCTGCCGGCCGTGCTTGCGCCCCGGCCCCCGCGAGGCTCGCTTGGCGGGGCCAGGGGGGGGGGGAGCTTCCTCGGCGGGCGCGGCGGGGCCGGGGGAGGGGGAGGCGGGCACCCCGGGGAGGGGGGGGGAGCTTCCTCGGCTGGCGCGGCGGGGCCGGGGGCAGGGGAGGCGAGCACCCCGGGGCGAGGGGGGGGTCGGGGGCGGCAAGGAGGGGGGTGATGACCAGGGGGGGTGGGGACATCATGGCACGGGCCATGATACCTCCCCAGATCTCATGGCGCCTCTTCTTATTCCTTTGCGTCCCTGGCCCCCCCTGGGCCGCGGCGCACATGCCGCCGGCCATGATTTGCACCCCCCATCTTGGACGCCCCCCTCTCGGCCGCCCCCGAGGGGGGGGGGGAGGGGAGGGAAGGTGGACACCGGCAGGGGAGGGAGGTGGGCAGCAGCGGGGGCCAGGGAAGAGAGAGGGAGAGAGAGAGGGATCGGGGAAACGTAAGGCTCGAGTGAGTCGGACACCGGGTTTGCCGACGTTTGTTGACGAGCGCGTCCTGGATGTTGACGGGCCAGTTTTCGTGGGATGTTTGCAGCGGGAGTTCGCGTCAAGTTTCAGATTGGGTCTCGTCATTTTTATGATGGCCCCGTCAGGCCAACCCGAGTCCCCCGTACCCGAGTCTTTTGTCTCCCCGAAGGGAGGGAGAGGGAGACAGGGAGAGTCGGCCACGCGCAGAGGGGGGGAAGGAAGGCTTCTAAGGAACACCCCTGGTTCTAAGAAGGCGCGGGTCTTGTCTGTAGATGTAAGGCTGGCGCCTTCTAAGAATCAGCATCCATCTAAGTAGCCTTCTCCCCTCCGCCTGTCCCCTTGTGCGCGCCGCCAGGAAAGAGGGAGGGACAGAGGCAGAAACAGAGACAGAGAGAAGGAGATAGAGAGAAATAGCGAGACACAAACTAACAACATCGGGGACGTATATATGGGGCAGGCGGAGAGGAATGGAATGGTCTGAAGGGAGAGAGGGAAGAAGAGGTGTACTGCGGGAAGGCGGAGAAGGAGGTTAAAGAAATTGGAGTGAGGGAGGGGGATTGGGGAGATGAGTTGGCGAGGCGGAGTGGGGAGAAGAGGCGGCGAGGTCGAGGGAGAGGGAGTTGGAGGGAGAGCGGTTGGCCAAGATACCGCATTCTAGCGGCATGGCGTGGGTGGGGAAGCAGATCTGATGTTCTCGTCCTGGCCCTCTGCTGGTGCCGTCGTTTTGGACCGAAGGGTTGTTGTGTGTTTCGCGCCTCCTCCCCTTCCTGGTCACGCCTCCTCCGTCATCCCCGCTCCTGCACACCTCATCAGCCACGTGCTTCCCCATCCTCCCTCCTCTCCACCCCTGAGTGGTGCCAGACCACCACCTGTCGCCACTTCCTTCGCCCTGGAAGGGTTCAGCGGAGCGCCCCAAACGAGCACCACGTACAACGATCGCCACTTCCTGTGTCCTTTGGGTCAAGCAGTGGCGAAGCGTGTTGGCTCGCCTATAGCCCTACCAAACAATATTCTAAGAACCTTTTGTGGTTCCCACGAAATGTTTTGAGAGCATTTCTGACGGAGTCTGTCTTGTTTTATCACATTGGGTTGATGTTCTAAGAACATTGTTCCTGTTCTTAGAACATTATTGGGTTCTAGCATTATTTCGTGGTAGGACTATAGGAATGCCCGGACGGTCGGTCCCTGTTCAATTGGGATTCCGGTGGGGCGCCCTTTTGCGCGCATTCAGAATAGGCTTCGCCCCCCTGGGCGCTGACAAGTGTTCACATGTCAGCACTTCCTGCCACCACGGGGGGGGTCCCAGCGGAGCCTCCTCTTGCGGCCATCAGGGCTAGACTTGGCCTTGTGCGCAAGGCCAGGCGTGCGGCACTGTTGCTGATGCTGCTTGCTGCGCCCATGGGGGGGGGTCCACAAGGACGTCCTTCCGTGCATGGGCATCCGGTCCAGGCTCTATGTATCCATGTCTCGATGTTTCTCTCTATGGGTGTATGACAATATGTCTTGTTGCCTCTACGTCTATATGTATGCATGTCTCTATGTATATATTTTCCGATGTATAGTTAACTCTGTGTTTAAGTCTCGATGTCTGCATGTATACATGTATATACGGCTATCTGTCTCTATGTCTCGATGTTGCTATGTGTACATGTCTCTACGTAAATGTGTATATACATGTCTATATGTATGTATATATGTTTGTATGTAGCTATGTAGTTATCTAAGTAGCTGTGTCCATATGTCTAGTTGCCTCTATCTCTATACCTCTCTATCTCGCTGTGGCGCGTTGCTTCTATGCCCCCATGCCTCTGTACCTCCTTGTCTTTATGCCTCTGTGTCTCTAAGTCTCTATGTCTGAACGTCTCTCACTCTCCTATGTCTATAAGCCTGCATGTCTCTACGTCAGTATGCCTCCATCCGCCTCCATGTTTGTAGGTCTCTATATATGTCTCTGTGTGTGTTTATGTTTCGCTATGTTTCTCTGTCTCTATGTCTATATGTCTATGTGTCTAGATTCCTCTATGTCTTCCTGTCTCCCTGGCGCCATGTCTATGTGTCTCTATGTCGCCATGTATCGATGTCTCTATGTCTGGATGTCTATACGACTCCATGCCGCTATTTCCCTAATGTTCTCGGTCCCCATGTTTCTGTGACCCTGCATACTAGTGCGAACACGTTGCACATCTTTCGCAGATTCCCTTCACGCTTTGGTTCCGGCGTGCTCTGTTGTTCATACTGTCCAATCAGTCCATCTCGCTTGGTGGCTCGCCGCGGGCATGGAAGGTAACACGTGGATCTCGAGCGGGCGTGGCGTGCTCGGGGGAAGTCTCAGACTCGGCTTTCGTCCACTTGGCAGAGAGTGACTGAATGTCCGTCCGTCCCATGCGCTCTAAGATCGGCCTTATCGCGCATTCCATGTTTTCAAGATGAGATAGTAGTTTCTTTACCCTGGCCCCTTTCATGTATGAAGTCTGTACTAGGGTTTCACCTGTACTCCTAGATGTTCGGCTGAGTCAGTCCCGTCGGTTCCAAGGAGTGTGTTACGATTAGCTTGTGTCCGTGAAAAGATCCCCACAGTGGATTCCTCATGGCAGCGACAGCTTGCACAACCCGAGCGTCCACTCAACATAGCCTTTCGGCATGGCTGCTCGCTTCAGGAGGCTTCGCAAACGTCCTGGTGATGCGACGTTCTATGTGGAGAGACTTTATTCCCAACTGCTTGCTTGCGGCTGGGGCCCATCCCTCCTTTCTTCCTCACGCGGCTACGGGCAATCGCTGCCCGACCAAGCCTTCGAAGCAGCGCGGTGAGCTCAAGACGTGTTTTTGGTCTTCCCGTACACCTCCACAGTGGGGAGAAGCTCTCATCAATCGAGCGTTTTCTCGCATCAGCCGCGCGTGGGTGAAACTGATTGGCAGAGCTCGCGCGCCCCCCCTCGGCGCCACCTCTACCAGACTGCAACCTCCTTGGGCGCTGTGGAAGGCACAGCTGCCGCGTCTGCCAGCGCCGTCTGGGGAGTGCAGCGGAAGACCCCGTAGACGTAGACGCAGCGCGTCGCGGGCATCGCGACGTAGACGTCGCTTACTTGAGGGGTTGCCAACCGACAGACGTTGTCCTTCGCGCCTGTACTCTCGCCCAGTGCATCCACCATGAGTTTAGCGTCGCCTGTGGGGCCAGGCTCAACACACAGCGCTGGCCGCATGGAGCTTCCTGGTCGCCAGGACGACCGCTCGCCCCTTCTTTCTGCCCGCCAGAATCAGAAACAGCGCCGCCATTTCATTAGCCGTGGCCGGGGCTCGTGGCCGAGGCTCGCCGTGACCAGGAGCGCCACTTCGTGTCTTATCCAGCGTTCGTGCGGTAGGACGATGTCTGTCGATTTGTAGATCTGAGATTTGCGACAGGTCCATCGCTGAATAAGGGTGAATCACCCGTGCTCGCGCTCTCCCTTGCGCGGCCAGATGTTGGTTGATTTCCCGACGTGTGCTGTTTCACCCTGGCGGCATGTGCTGGCCTGGCGGCGCCCAAGAGGCAGCGAGGATGCACGGAGGGGCAGGAAGTGAGGTCTCGCAGTGCCCTGCCCAAAGTGGGTACCCAACTTGGGATGGCCAGGAATCGCGAGCAACCGCCAGTCGAGGATTGGAGCCATGCGGCCCACAGAGTGGGCGACGCTTCGTGCGCCGTTCGGCGACGACGTCATCGAGCTCACGATCGATTGCCCCGCATTCTCCATTCTGTGGACAGCCAGGCGGCCGGCTCTTTGTGCGCCGTCGGCGACGCCTTCATCGAGCTCGCCATCACCTGCCCCGCATCCTCCTGCTCCTCCTCCTGGCCCTCGGCCCCCCTCTGTCTCCTCCCTTCTCCCCTCTGCTCGTCTTCTCCCTCCTCCTCCTCCTCCTCCTCCTCCTCCTGTCTTCTCCCTTCTCCCTTCTCCCTTCTGCTCCCCCGCCTCCCTCCCCCCTTCTCTCGGCCGTTCTCGTGGCGCACGGCCCTTGGGTCCGCCGCCGCGCGGTCGGGGCCCCTCTGGGGCCCGAGGCTCGGGAGGCCGAGCTGCGGCGCGACGGAGCGGCGGCGAGGACGAAGTGCCATGCGCGGCGCTTCCGAAGTCGCCGTTGCTGCCCTCCCGTCGCTACTCCGGGCACTACAGTCGGGCCGGGCGAAAGGGGGGGATTGGGAAAGGGGGGGTTACGAAATTTGCTGCACGCAGCTGGTTTCGGCCTCACCGAGGGGCACATTCCTCGATACATGGCCGCCTCTGGCGCCGGGAGGCGCCGGGAAAATCAGCTACGTGAGCTGATTCTCAACCCCCCCCTTTGCTATCCCCCCCTTTCGCCCGACCCGATACAAAGAACCACAACCACAGCTGAGTGGATTTTTCTGCAGGCCTCCTCGGGGGATCACCCACCGACCTCGGCAGACGCACTTTGGTGGGGGTTGTGGTCGATTGGGCAGTCTGGGACGCCCACACTGACCACAACCAGTACTAAGCTTGTCTCGGTGGTCTGACGATTGCTGGCGTGCGCAAAACATCTCCCAGGTTGCGTTATCGATGTGGTTGTGGTCGCTTGCTGTTTCCGCAGCTACGGCAAGTCTGCGGCGGATAACAAAACTACGAAATGATTTCGGCCTTTCTCGACCTCTGGGAGCCGTATTCGGGCCCAGGGGCTGTCAGAAAACGATGGGGGGAGTGAAGCTGCGCAAGGTGGACCCCAGGACGGGTCTGGGGACAGATTTTTAACGGGTTGGTGGCGATATTCCAACCTTCCCTTCGAAGATCAACTATTCAGGCAACTCGATGGGTGGCGGGTGTAGGTTTCGGAATCCGTCGAACACGTGGCGAAATCCGAACCCCCGCCTCCAATCGATTCAGGAGAGTGGATGGTGAGGATAGTGTTCAGATGTCGCCAATCACCCCTTCCACCACCGCTTCCAGTGCGCGCAGCTCCCCTTTTCCGATTGCGCATGACACGATGGGGTCCTTTTTGCGGCGCCAGGTCCGCTGATTATGGCACGCGTCCGTGGACAGAGGAAAAATCAGCGCCATGGGAAGGGAAGGGTCGAGGGGGTATGATTTCACATGTAGCGCGCGCCCACCAAGCTTGTCCACACCCCCCTTTTGCGTCCTCTCTCATCCGCGTTTCGCTTCGTCTGCTTCAGCCCCATCAGGCAGGCTCTCGACGGCCGTGGGCCTCGGAAGCCGCCGGCGCGTGGACGCCTTCGTCTATGGCGACTGTCTCGTCTTTTTGGTAAAGATGATGGCTCGTGCAGGAACGTGCCAGACATTAGAAAGTGCCAGGAGATGGGCTCCTGCAGGAACGGGCCTCCTCGCTCCCTCCCTCCCTCCCTCCCCCGCTCCCTCCCTCGCTCCCTCCCTCCCTCGTGTGACGTTCCCAGCCCGCCCGGCGGTCTTCATTCAGTCCCACGTCGTGGAGCCAGATGTGAGTCGCTTCTGTGGGTGAAACAAGTACCCCTGCATCCTTGGCCTGGTCCCCGATCTGTTCGACCGCGCTCAAAAGTGACCCTTCGCTGGAGTGACCTTGGATGCGGGCCCACTGGGGCCCCCCGATCGCCAAACGCGCTTCGATTGTGGCGTCGTGCGCGCTTGTGATTGGTCCCTTGCGGCGCCGCAAAGTCCGCGCACCAGAGGGTCACTCTTGCCCAGGGTCACTCCTGCGTGTAGCCGATCTCGGGGGCTCTGGCCCGGCGACGATGACGACGCACGACGCACGACGCACGACACGCGACACATGACGCACGACGACAACGACGACAACGACGACAACGACGACGACGACGATGACGACGACGACGACGACGGCGACGGCGACGACGACGACGACGACGACAACCGCCGAGGGGGCGACTTCTCGTGCACCGTCGGCGACGGCTACTTCGAGCTCACGATCGACTACCCCATCTCGATCGGGCAGCAGGCGCGCAACCCGCGCGGCCGCGTGGGGACGGCAGTTGGCGAAGGGGCCCTTCTTCAGCTACTTCTCCGGCGCCTCCTCCGCCTCCATCTCCCCTTCCGGCCCTCCTCCCTACACCACCCTGGGCTTGAGCGCCTCATCGCGTTGTACTAGATTCCATGAGTCCCTCTCCCCCTCCTCCTTTTCCTCCCCCTCCTCCCACTCCTCCTCCTCCTTCTCCTCCTCCTCCTCCTCCTCCTCCTCCTCCTCCTCCTCCTCGCCCTTCTCACCCTCGTTCTCCTCCTTTCCCCCGGTTGTACAATAACACATTGTTACTATTACTCTCCTCTCTTTCTTTCTCTCTCGTTCCTGAATGTCTGGAAGATATTCGGCCCTCTTCACGTACTGTTGTGTATGCATCAGATTTCAAAAGTTGATTATTCGAATCGTTGTTTTGTTACACGGGTGCGATATGTATTTCAAGATGGTGTTCCTGCTGCAGCACTGGCCTCGCCCCTTCTCCTTTTCCCTCCGCCGCCTTCACCTGGTCCTCCGCCTCCTCCTCCTCCTCCTCCTCCTCCTCCTCCTCCTCCTCTTCTGTTCCATTCCATTATAGATAACTTCTCCCTGTCGCACCTCGAGGTTAGTTGTTAGGGTGGTCTAGGCGTTTCGCCTGACACTCCCTCACCACTTATGACCCTGAAGCTTTAAAATTGACAACAGATTCGCAGATGGAGGGCGGGTCGCTTTCAAGCTGTGGTTCTCGCGTTAGCGCCGCGCACATTCTTTTTCAAACTTCGCAAGAGCTTCACGGATTGAGGGCGGGCCGTTTTCAAAATGAGGTTCTAGCCTTAGCGCCGCGCACATTCGTTTTAACAGGTTGCACGGGCTTCACGGATTGAGGGTGGTTCCTTTTCAACATGTGCTTATCACCGTAGCGCCGCGCGCATTCGTTTTCAAACAAATCGCAAAAGCTTCTCGGATTGAGGGCGGCTCCTTTTCAAATGTGGTTTTCGCCTTAGCGGCGCGCGCACTCGTTTTTCTTTATTTCATTATTCAAAAGAGTACGTATATAGTGCTCAAGAGTTTCACGGACTCCCATCATCAGCGTACCAGAACTTGTGTTTTCGATGGGGTCAAAATTATGAGGGTGCAACAGATACGTTGGTTCGCGGTGTTGACGTCCCAGGAATGGCGCTCTCCCACGGTTCAGGATCGCCAAGACCCAACAGTCAGGTCGATCCGTGGCGTTGGAATCTAGAGAACGATGTTTTGGCATGCGTCGGGGTGCTTAAACGGTTGCTTTCCAACGGGGCACTTCCCTCGGTGAAAATGATCCCTGGTGGGGGCCTAGAAGCGGGAGCGCGGAGGGAGGATTTATTCCAACATCGTTGATGGCCTTTTGGGTTTCTACTGATCCTCCTCCTCCTCCTCCTCCCCCTCCTCCTCCCCCTCCTCCTCCATGCCTTCTGCTTCTAAATAACCCCTCCCTGTCGCACCCCGTGGCCAGTTTTTAGGGCGGGCCGGGCGTTTCGCCTGAGCCTTCCCCACCATCTATGATTCTGAAGCTTGAAAAGTGGCAGTAGCTTCGCAGATGGAGGGCGGGTGGTTTTTGTTAATGAGACTCTCGCCTGAGCGCCGCGCACATTCGTTGTAACAAATTTCAAGAAATTCACGGGTTGAGGGCGGGTGGTTTTCAAAATGTGGCTCTCGCCTTAGCGCCGCGCGCACTCTTCGAAAACATTTGCAACATGTTCACGGATTGATGGGCGGGTGGTTTTCAAAATGTGGTTCTCGCCTTGGCGCCGTGCGCATTCTTGGTAAGGGATACGCGAATTTCACGAATTGAAGGCGGGCCGCTTTCAAAATGCGGTTTTCACCTTAGCGCCGCGCGCATTCTTTGTAAACGTGTGCAGTAGTTTCACGAATTGGAGGCAGGCCGTTTTAAACATGTGGCTCTCGTTTTAGCGCCGCGTACATTGCTGGTAAAACGTTGCAAGACCTTCACGGATTGAGGGTGGTTCCTTGTCAAAGTGTGGTTCTCGCATGAGCGCCGCGCACATTTTTTGTAACACATTGCAACAGCTTCACGGATTGAGGGCGGGTGGTTTTCAAAATGTGGCCCTCGCCTTAGCGTCGCGCACATTCGTTTTCAAACTTTGCTTGAGACTCCCAGACTCCCATGATCAACGTACCAAAATGTGTGTGTTGGAAGGATTACGCGGGTGCAACAGTTATTTTGGTTCGCGGTGTTGGAATCCAAAACATGGCACCATGGCACGATTCCGGATCGCCAAAACGCAGCAGTCAGGTTGATACGTGGCGTTGAAATCCCGAGAGCAATGTTTTGGCATGCTTCAGGATCTTCAAACGGTTGCCTTCCAACGAGGCAGTTCCCCCAATGAAAATGAACCGCTGTAGGGGCCTATAAAGAGGGAGTTCGGAAAAAGGGTGTCTTCCAACATCGTTGATGGTTCTTGGGTTTACACTGGTCCTCCTCCTCCTCCTCCTCCTCCTCCTCCTCCTCCTCCTCCTCCTCCTCCTCTCGCTCCTTCCACTCGAGTCCGATTCCGCTGCTGATCTTCGTCGTCCTCCCCCTTCTCCTCCTCCTCCTCCTCCTCCTCCTCCTCCTCCTCCTCCTCCTCCTCCTTCTCATCCTCATCCTCATCCTCATCCCCGCTCCCCTCCCGCATCCAGCTCCATGGGATGGGATGCGTTGGAGGAAGCGGAGCGGAGCGACATCGATGTCGCCCAGAGGGCGTCCCGTGCAGGGAACGGCGGGTGCGCCAGGGCGCCTCAGTTGCATTTGCACATGTACATCGATCCGATATCCCTCCACAGCTCGTCATCGCGGGCAAGCGTCTCCCAGTAACCATCGCATCCGAGGCCGCTGCGGCCGCGTGGGCAGGGATGTGTGTGGTGGGAGGGGTAGGATGTCAGATATGACCCGCTCACCAGTCGCCCTCCCGCGGGGCGACGCGGAGTAACGGCGGAGGGAGGGGCGAAGGGGGCAGGGGTGACCCTCGAGGGACGACGAGCAGCGGGTGTGATAAGAAGGAGAGGGCGGGGAGGAGGAGGAGGAGAAGGAGGAGGAGGAGGAGGATCGACTCGGCAGGAGGAAGTCCCGAGCCTTTCCCAGCCGGCCCCCCGCCCCGCGGAGCGGAGCGACACGTAATGCGCTTGCAAGGCATTGCTTGTCGCCGAGGCGTCGCTGCGACACGCTAAGCAACCGTTCGCGACCGTTGCCCCTTCCGCTCGCAGCCGAGAAGACTAAGCTGGGTTCACTCTGAAAAGGGTGTGGGGGCGAGGCGTGCCAGGCGAAGGGGTGCGCAGGGCGAGGCGTGCATCGACAGTCGACGACTGCGATGATGAGGAGGACGAGAGAGGGGGGGAAGGGGCGAGGGGGCAACGCCGCTGCCCTCGCGCCGGCTGGGCCCGGCGGGTAGGGCGGGCCCCCAGCCGCGCCCACAGGGCTGCGCGCCGCGCCGCCCCGTCGCCGCGGGCGCGCGCAGCGGGCAGCAACAGCTTGCCCGCTGTTTTCTGCTGTGTGTGGGGGGGGGGCTTTCGCCATGGGGGAAGCGGGTCCTGAGGGAAACGTGTCCTGATGTTTTTCACCGGTTTTGGACTCTCGGGGCCCTCCACGGGCCCTAGGACTGCCAGAAAGCGATTCTGGTCCTGGGAGGAGGCCCCAGGGCCTGGGAGAAGGTCCCAGGGCCTGGGGCCCGTTTCCCTCAGGACCCGTTTCTCCCATGCTAAAGGTTTTGATTGCTGCAGCGTGTGCTGGATGGGAGACAGCTCGCCCACCCCGACACCACGGAGCGAGGGAGGGAATTGTCGGGTTCTGCTAATTGTGCCCCTGGCCCAGGGTGCCCAGAGGATTTCCAAGAAGGCCCCCAAGTCCTTCGGAGCACCCCTCACGAGGACCGCAGAGACCTAGGGGCTCCACCTTGGAGCGACAAGCGAATGGCACTTGGGTCAGGGGCACCTTTATCGGGGGAGCGTAAGACCCGGGTTTGCCGGGACTCGGGTTCGCCATCGTTTTTTGACGACCGCGCCTCGGATTTTGACGAGGAGGAGTTTCGTGGGATGTCTGCAGCGGGAGGCCTCGTCAAAATGCAGGCTCGGCCTCGTCATTTTTTTGACGACCTCGTCGGGGATTTCCGAGTCTCCCGTAACCGGGTCTTACGTCTCCCCGACTTTAGCAACTCCCGAAGTGGAGCTCAGCCGCGCAAGCATCGTCATCGCGAGTGCACCACGATCGGACGGCCGGGGCCACGGTCGGCGAGGCACCGAGGCGCCAGGCGCAGGGCAGCACCGGGGCCGGGCAGTGTCGAGAAGGCGAAAAGGCGACGGAAGTTGGCGCCAGCGAGGGGACGCACCATTGCTCGGCATCGCTTGGACGTTTGCAAGTTGTGGCAACGCGAGCTCCAGAACATCGGAGTAATCTTGGAACACCGTGCCCTAGAAGAAAAACTTGAGACCGACAAATGCACAGGGAATGGACCTCCAAGCGATGGCAAGATTGCCTTCGGTAGCAAAGTATGGGAGCCTTTTATCTAATGGCCTTCGGCTCATCCCGTTTCCGTGCCTGGACTGTGGGTCAGAATCTTTAGGGATGTTTCTTGGGTTCTCTTCCGAGCGCTCTCGGGGGAGTTTGGGGGCCTCTTCTGGGCATGTTGGGAGCCTTCTGGAGGCCTCTTGGGGATTCCTGGGGGCCTCTTGGGAGCCTCTGGGGCCTCTTGGGGGCCTCTTGGGACCTGTTGGGAGCCTCTCGGGGACGAGGGCTGGAAATGTTCTTTCGGGTCCCCCGTCTGGGCCTCTTGGCGCTCTTTTGGAGGCCTCTTCAGCCGTCTTGGTGCCCTCTTGGGCCGTTTGGGGGCCCTGTTGGAGGCCTCTTGGACCGTCTTCGGGCGATCTTGGGCGCCTCTTGGGCCGTCTTAGAGCGTCTGGAAGCCGAAAGGCGAGCGTCAAAATCTTTCAAAAAACATGCGGCAAATGACTGAACGTTGCCTCTTTGGAGCATCTTGGGGGAGCTCTTGGAGGCCTTTTGGGGCGTCTTGGAAGGGCTCTTGGGCTGTCTGGAAACCATCTGTGGCGTCTTGGACCGATGGTTCGGCGACTTGGGTTCCTCTTTGACGGTCTTCGGGGCGTCTTGGGGACCTCTTGGCCCGTCTAGGCCTTCGAGGGCCCGAAAAAGTCATGCGACTGGCCGCCCCGGAACGCGACAGATTTGGCCCTCAGGGGTCAGGGGCCCTTCAGAGTCCTGAACCCAGGGGACAGGACCACAACAGGGGACCTGAGGACAGGCCCACTCCGTACCCGAAGGCACGGTGGCGGATATCCGCGTAACTTCGTCGTTAGAGTGCCGCATCGCCGATTAGCATCTCGGAGTCGACGAGATAGCACCCATTTATTGTCGACTAGCGTCGAAACGCGTCGATTTATCGTCGACTAGCGTTGATGTGCGTTAATTAACGTCGATTCGCACGAGGCAGCAAGATGGTATGGGAGGCTCTCATGAGTTGCCACCGAGACTGCGATCAGCAATCGTGGACACGGCTGGGGAAAAAAACATGGGCGCTGGCGGAAGTCGAGGAAACGTACACACGGATGCAGACGCGTGGGGTTGAGGACGGGCCCCGCTTCCGTGCAGAATCGGCGCGTTCAGTCGCCAAGTCTTGCAGCATTGGCCACATGTTTTTGGGGGTACCTCCGAGGCGGGAATTGATCCATAGTTATTCACTTCCTGGAGGGTCAGTTTTCGGAGCCTCGGCAGGCAGTGCATATGGACATGTTCGGGCCCCCGGGGGCCGAACTATATCCATATCCACCGCCCGCTGGGGCACCAGGACGTCGGTTCCCAGGCGGTGGATATGGATGAATCCCCGCCTCGCAAGGGGCAGCCGCGGACGCGGCTAGCGAAGGAAAGTTGCGCCCGCGGAAGGAAGCACCGGGGTAGAGGAGCCGTTCGGCACATGGCCGGCCATGGGGATTGGACTGGCCCAGGCAACGGCCTCAAGAGTCAAGGAATTTCATAATTTCAGTGCAAGCGCGGGTTGTCGAACCAGACTGCATGAAATGGAACACAAGAGTTGACATGCTTCAAGGCGCAATGCTTACGGTGATGGGCAATGGAACGTCGTCGTCGTCGTGGTGGTCGTCGTCGTCGTCGCGAGGCCGTGGGGGCTCCCGAACGCAGGCCTTCGCGGTGACCGCAACTCCTCCGGCCGCCGAGCCAGTCGACAATTCGTTCTACATCAAGCTCATCGACACCGATGAGGAGGTGATCGATGCGGCGATGAACATCCAAGGCCTCCAAATTCAGCATGGCCTGGGGCCCAGCTCGAGCCGAGCGAACGGGGGGAATGGAAAAGGGGGGGCACGAAATCGGCTGCATGCAGCTGGTGTCGGCCCCGCCGCCGGGCCCATTCCTCGATACATGAGCGCCTCCCGGCGCCAGGAGGCGCCAGGAGAACCAGCTACGTGAGCTGATTATCTACGCTACCCTGTGCTATCCTACCCTTTCGTCTCCCCCGATCTGCGCGGCAAGGCGGCGCGGCCAGAGTGCTGGGCGCTCGCCACAGGCGGCCGACGAGAACACAGGGCAGAGGATCAGGGACCCAGTCGCGCCGGGGATGCCAGTGTTTTGACTAGTTCTCGTCGCCCTGTCGCGCTCTGTCTCACAAGTTCGTCCCCAATGCTGGGTAGTTGGAAGTTTGCTCTGTGGCAAAACACTTGGTAACCTTTTTCCAGCGTGGATTCCAGGCCGTCGGTCATGGCACTCTGCGCGTGCTGCAATCCATATAGTGTAAGCCACGTGATGCTATACATGTGGTGTAAGTTTTCAAATGCACAGTGTGTGTGTGTGTGTGCGCGTGTGTGGTGCAGGCTGCGTGGTGCGAGCTATGTGGCGCAAGCTGTGTGCGTTTAAGCTCGATGGTGCAAGGCTATGTCGTAAAAGCTGCGTCGTGCAGGCCACCTGGTGTACGCTGCGTGGTGCACGCTGCATGGCCCAATACGTGGTTCCACACCAGGGCTGGACCTAAACGGCGTTTTGGCGTTTTCGTGGGCCGTTTTCGTTTCGATTTCGTTTTGCGGTGCAGGCGAATCGAAGACAAAGCGAGGGAAAACGAAAACAACACGAAAACGAAAAACACCGTTTAGGTGCAGCCCTGTTCCGCGCTGTGCGGTGCATTCTGCGTGGTGCAGCCCATGCGCTGCATACACGAGGCGGGCACCGGGCGGGCACCGAGCCGCCCTCGGGGCGCAGATCCCCACGGGCGGGCACGGGCGAGCACCTGGCGAACATCTGGGAATACACATGGTTCATGTCTACTTCTTCGTGAGGTCTTTGTTTTTTTGTTGGGCCAAGATCCTCTCATTTCTAATTCTTCTATCTTGGTTCTCTCCCTGGCCACTAGGGGGCGAGGAAGAATTAGAAACGAGCACAATGAGAACTTAGCACGATTAGATATGAACGACGTGTACTGTTGAGAAAACAAGTCGGAACCCCAAGACGGGGCCACTTCAAATGGCGACTTTTCCGTCGACCAGGGAACAACTTCGACCGAATCGCCACTTCAGGATTGAACATTTGGGAGTCCATCCACTTATTGTGAAGGGGCCTCCGTTGCGAGAAAGGCTGCAAATGGCGACTTCTCCGTTTCCGGATTCTCCTCGGCGGAGTCCAACATACAAAACAGCGCCTTCGGCGAACCACCGCCTCCGCCTGCCTTTTGGAAGACGCCCATGTGGACCAAGTCTTGCCCAGCTACTGGGCTGTGTGCTCCTCCAGGCAGTGTGCAAGCCCCGACGAGAGAGAGGAGAAGAGGGAGGATGAGAAGGATCATGAGGAGGAGTCCTGCTGGAGGCATTCCGCGGGCTTCTCGAGGGCCTATGAGAGCCTTTGGGCGGCCTTCTGGGGCCTCTGGGGACTTCCTGAGAGCCTCGAGGGGGGCTCTTGCCCTTCGGATGCCGTCTTGCGGGCCTCACCGGGTCGTGTTAGGGGCCCACTTGGGACACTTAAGAACAGTTTGGGAGGTGCCTGGGTCCGTCTTGGAGCTCTCTTGCGGCTATCTTGGGAGCCTCCTTGGTCGTCTTTGGGCACTATTGGGCAGTCTCGGGTCCCCTTGGGGGCCTCCTGCACATTCTTGGGGCTCTCTTGTGGGCTTCTTGGGCTTCCTTGGGGCCACTTAGGGGCCTCTCGGGACGGCTTTGGCTATCGGAAGCCCTAACAGGCGAGAACGCTAAACGCATGCAAACACCTCAGGAGCACAGATCAGATGTTGTTGGCCTCTTCGGGCCCTCCTGCATGGCCTCTCTGAGCACTTGCGGGATATCCGCCCAGCTGCTGTTGGTCGTCTTGCAGATTCGGCTTCGCGGCAGCTCAGACATTTTACGACAAGGCGCATCTTGGACCATCTTGAAGGCGTCGTGTCCGATTTGGGGAGGGTCATCGTTGCCAGCTTTGAGATGTCTTACGCCGTTGCCAGCTTTGAGATGTCTTGCGCCGTCTTGGAGGCCATCTTGGACCTGCTGGGCGGTCTTGGAGGCCGTCTTGGAAAATATCTTTGACGTCGGGGAGGCGAAATATGATCATTTGGGGTCCGTTGTGGTTCGCCTGGGTCTATCTAGATGGTCGGCTGGTTGAGTCGGAAGCCATTGTGCACGTTTTGTTGTTGAGTCGGAAGCCCTTTCGCAAGCAAACGGGGGCGGCGGACTATTTGGTTTGCCACCCACCCCGCAAACGTGTCTGGGTCGTGAGCCAGGGACCACTTTATGTTTTTGTCGGGTCTCTTTGGGGGGTGTCTCGGGGAGGGGGGGGGGGCTTCCTGGGGGCCTCTTGGAGGCCTCGTGGAGCTTCCGAAAGGCTTCTTCATGGTCTCTCTGGGGTGTTTGCGGACTTGCGAGCGGTCGAGGGGGAGTTTTGGCAGCCTATTCGAATTCTCTGATTGGTGCCTCTTTGATGCCATTTTCGGTGCCTTTTGGGCCCCTCCTCAGGTTCTCGGGGCCGTCGTGGGCCGATGTTGGAGACGTCTTGGGCCGCATTGGACGCTCCAGATACTGAGACGGCGACACGGTTACAAGCATGCAATGTGAGGCGGTCCAGGCAAGGGCCTCGCCTTCGAGTGTCGAAGGAGTTGGCATCTCCTCCTCAGCGAGAGTCGGCGGAAGGCCTGCGGAAGGCAGCGGAAGTTAAAGGAGGCTGCTTCCACCGGCGCAAACGGGCGGAAGGCCAGCGAAAGCCAGGCGGAGTAAAAATCGGCTTCCCAAGAGATGACAAGGTTTGTTGATGCAGGGTTCCAGCGTCCGCCATGTGTTTGAGCGACATTGTCGTTTTTGCCTGCCCCAAGACGTCCCCACAATCCTCCAAGACAGCCTCATGACGGCCCCCGTGATAACAGTACCGACACTGGAATGAACACCACTTTGGGCTCAGGAAGCGCTTTGGTTTTCGGGCCGTTCATCAGAACCAGATCAGAGCTGAGGCTCGCCGTGGCCAGAAAAGCAAATTCTTTCCTTGTTCAGCGTTCCACCTGGTAGCACGATCGCTGCATGTTTGGGACGTACTGGAAGATTGGGGCACAAGCCACGCGGCCCGAGGATGCGCGCAGCTCGCACAACGAACCATTGGAGCGCGCGATGACGAGAGCTCCCAAGAGCGCCCGCAAATCCCTTCCAAGACGTCCTCCCCCCATTTTTCCACGTTTCCCAAGACGTCGAGGATAGCACTCCCGCTCCTCCATTCGTCCCTCTCAGGCCTCGGAGTTTATATATATAGTATGATCTACACACGTATTCATATATATATATATATATTAGGTGTTTCGCGCGGCACGGTGAATAGATGATTCCTGAGGCCACGGCTTCCTCTACCTGGTCTTGGATAGGCCTTAGACGTAACGCTTGCCACATCAAGATACGCATACGCACCCTCCAATGGTTTCTTCCTGGGCCTCAGGGGAGGGTGGTTGTGTATTACACACCTCTGGGCATGAGCGACGTTGTACACCACCACCCTGCCAGAATGTACATGCGAAATTTGTCGGAGGGTGTCTGCGGATTGACTCGTGGGTCAGCGCTAGTGGGGGTCAGCCAAGCACTGACCACAACGCTGTTTGGCTTGTCTTGGGCCCTTGTTGTGTTGTTCGTGTTGATGTTCGTTCTTGTTTCGTTTCGGTGTCTTGTTTCGGGCAGAGCCCGAACTTATTTCTCCCGAGGGAAACTGGTTGAACTGAACTGAACAGACTGGTCGCACCCGTCACGCGACGGTTTGATTCTCGGTCGCCAAGGGCACAATTGATGGCGCGACCGATAGGAGACGGTTTTACTCTCGGCCGCCGAGGGCGCAACCTATGGCGCAACCGATAGAAGACGGTTTTATTCTCGGCTGCCGAGGCGCAACCTATGGCGCAACCGATAGGAGACGGTTTTATTCTCGCCCGACGAGGGCGCAACCCATAGCGCAACCGATCAGAAATGGTTTTGTTCTCGGCCGCAGAGGTGCCAGGAGAAGGAGGGTAAGCAGGAGGAGGAAAAGGAGAAGCGAGGACGATGTCCTAGACGAGGCTGACGAGTAGGAGCTGCAGCAGGAGGAGGATGAGGAAGACGGGGAGGATGAGGAGGAGGAGGAGGAGGAGGACGACGACGACGATCAGGATGGGGAGGAGGACGGGGAGGAATACGAGTAGTACGAGGACGATGTGTGGGCATTCGAATGCGTGCGGGGCTATGCTCGATTTATGCTTGTCGTTTGGGCTGACGGTGGGGCCCAAGCGGCGAGCTGTCTTGTGATTGCTTTCGACGTCTCCTTTTGTTGTTCGCTTCGGGTGGCCCCGGCTTGGTTTCAAACGTTCGTTTCAAACGTTGTGTTGCGTTTCGCGTTCGCTGTCAAGCGCCATTCCATTTTAACAGCGTTGTGGTCGGTCCTTCGGGTCAGCCAGTCCCCTCCGATGTCCTCTGGCCGACCCGTGCTTGGGAGCCGCCTGGAGCCGACCCCGCTCCCACGCCACCCGCTGACCCGGATTTTTGCAAAGCTGCTGCGTGGCTGGCTGGGCTTCGCGACAGGGCCCTGGCCGACCGGAGTCTGCGCCGACTTCGGGGGGATCAGCGCGCCCCCGAGAGGGCGACGACGACGGCGACGACGACGAGGACGCCGACGACGGCGACGAGGACGATGACGGCGTCGACGTCGGCGTCGGCGTCGGCGACGACGGCGACGGCGAGGACGACGACGAGGACGACGACGAGGACGACGACGAGGACGACGACCACGGGTGTGCCGACGGGGAGCACCTCCTCGGAGCGCCTCCGGCGCGCCCGGCGGCGGCGCCCGCCGAGGCCTGCCGATGACGGCCCTGGACCTGACGTGGAGCAACAGCGAGGCGGGGCAGCGGTCCACGGCGACGCGGCCGCCGGCTCCCCGCGCGCGCGCGGGCGGTGCGCGAGGAGGGCCTCGGCCTCCCGGGGGGGGGGTCGAGGCGGCCGTCGCCGGCCGTCGGAGGCCTTTGGGTGGCGCGCACTTGGGGCCCGCTGCTCCTCAGTCGTCCACCTCCTCCTCCTTGCCCATCCGCCAGCAGTTCATCCTATTCCTCCTGTTCCTCCTCCTCCTCCTCCTCTTCTTCCTTACCTCCTTCCCGCACCCCGCAGCCTCGGGAGGGTGACGAGCATGACGAGGACGAGGTGGAGGAGGGGAGATGGCGGAGGGTGGAGGGAGTGTCGAGGTGGAGGAAGCAGAGAAGGAGGAGTAGGGTGAAGAAGCCAGATAAGCAGGAGCGAGCTAATCTCTTCAACGCTGGAAGAGTGTGCTGACTGTTCCACGATTTGCCAGTCCTTTGCGCCCATGCTTCGATCCGAGTTTTACGGATCTCTTGGTTGTCTTTTGATCAAGGATTGGTAGCATTTCGGGTCGACGGATCTGTTTGCTGCGTTCTAGCTGCATGGTGTGCAAACGTGCGTGAAAAGCGCACCGCATTTGCACGTATACCTGGGCAGCAGCAGTTGTCCGTGCGTACTGCAGCAGTGCAGAGTGTATGATCAGTTGGTGAATACCGCGTGTTGCAGGTGAGCAGTGGGCATTTGTGGCGTTCCTGTTTCGCCTGGCGACAGTTTGATTCGCCTTGTGGTGGCATTGTGGTGGTATTGGGGTTGCAGTGTTCGCGATGGCCTCTCTCCAAGAATTCATCAGGTTGCCTCCCGTCGAGTGGACTTCTCGCTCGCTACGCACGCAGCATGACATCACCTATGCCAGGCCAATGGGTCACGCCGTACTGTGTAACGCTCTTCCTGCGCGCAGGCAACACATTTCACTGCAACGACACCTCGCCTGCGCACGCAGGCGCGGACCTACAAACAGGCACTGGAGGACATGTTGTGTGACGATCTGGCTCAGGCTGTCATTCTCTGTGCCGTGGCCTCGCCGCCAGGGCCCCCCCCGCGCGTGCCTCGCCAGATCGCCCAGAGGTGGTGCGGATACGGGGCTGGCGTGGGGGTTCCGATGGGCGCGAGCGCCTCCGCTCCAATCGACGTGCGCGTCACCGACCGCAAGAGCCTCATAAAGGAGCAATGCCTCAGGCGGATGGACTACGAGTCGATGCAGCACGCGTACAGGTCCGAGGGACAGATTCCTCAGCCCCAGACCCAGCTCTCCCCATTTTTGCGCAGCAGGTGCAGGAAAGACGTGTATCCATATTCACTGCGTCTTGGAGTTTCGGGTTCCTGTCGCCGTAAACCAGAGGCGCAGTGGAAATGGATTAACAAACCTGGCCCCTAGCGGCTACATTCTCTATCCATCTCCACTGCGCCTCGGTCTTTTTGGCGACCTTTCCCAGAAAGTCCAAGACGCAGTGGACATGGATATGAAATGAATCTTGTCCGCAGCACGAAGTGGGGCTGCAGGCTGGAAGCGTAGGTTTGGGGGGCGGCGGCAGGCTGGAAGCGTAGGTTTGTGGCCCCCGGGCAGGATCGACAACAGGCCAACGAACAGAGGACAACTGTCTATCCAGGAGAAGGCGAAGCTGGTGGACCCCAGCCTCTGCAAGGGCGGCGACAACTCCCTCCCGTTCATGGAGGCCAGCATCTTGCCGATAGTGACGGCCTTCTTGTTCGGGGGAGCCCTGATCCGCTGTTTCGAGGCGGACAGGGGAGAACTTTGACTCAAGAGCAATCCTGACAGGGAGCCCCCTGTGCACATGGCCGGCGTCTTTGCTCGAGTCCGCGTTATCTTGGTCCGATCAATTGCAAGAGCAACGTCGTCCGAACCGCCAGTCTACCAGGGTCCGGGGGGCAATTTGTCGCAGCCCCAGGTGAGCCCTCTCTGGTTTGTGGTCTACTACAAGACGCTCGACCAGATCTTCGCCAAGATTGACATGGGATTCAAGCAGTTTTACGGCCACGCCCTCCACCTGGAGTACGCACGCACGGACTGGTCTCCTGTCCATGTTGCCGAGGCCAACCGCCCCTTCTTCAGCACTCCTGGGGTGGGTCCTCTCCCCTCCGTGAGGAGGAGGAGGAGGAGGAGGAGGAGGAGGAGGAGGAGGAGGAGGAGGAGGGAGGAGGAGGAGGAGGAGGAGGAGGAGGACGAGGACGAGGACGAGGAGGAGGAGGAGGAGGAGGAGGCTACGTGCTGGAGGGCTGTGGCCGATGCCTTTTTTGAAACCCACGGGCGGGCTCGGAGCAGGGCGAGTTGAGACAAGTCAGGAGGAGAAAAAACACACAGACACAATGATTCGTCGAATCCCAGAAAATGTGCGAAAATATGGGAAGTGGGGGGGAAGACAGAAACCCAGAACATATGGGAAAATATGGGGAATCTTTTTATTTGTGTGTATTTGTTTGTGTGTCCCAGGGCCCCTTCAACAAGGGCAGCTCGAAGTCGGTCACCGGATCCCTCGCGGGGTCCAACGCACCAGTAGGGACAGCCCCGGAGGCCAACTGTTCTCTAAACTCGCCCTCTCCTGACAGGCGGGCATCCGCATCGACAGGATTCTGATAGCGCGCGTCACAAGCCTGCACGTGAACCGGTGCACCAAGGCAGGGTCAAGTTCGATCCGATCGATCCGATCCGACGTCGATTTTGGCCAGTTCGCTCCAATTCGATTCAGGAATTCATGGGATCCGATACGCCCTGATGTTCGCACCGCGCTGTTGAGCGTCCCGGCGCAGCCGATTCGATTCGATGTCCACTCCTTGCCGATGCAGCCCGATCCGACGTACGTTCCGATTCGATCATACATACAGTCGGGCCGCTGAATAAACTTATTTTTCAAATGGGGCGCGGTCGTCCCTTAGGTTTGCATGCGTTCCGCTCTTTTTTTTCGGCGGCGAGCCTCCCCGGTGCTTCGTCGGGCTTCATGGACTCATTTGGGAAAAATGGGGCGTCACTCCTTATTTCTCAGGTCAGCGGCCCGACTGTATTTCCCGATTAGATGCTTGTTTCTGCCAAGGTCTCCTATGGGTACGCCTACAAGGAGGTGTCCAAGAAGGGCGGCGCGGGCGAGCTCGACGGCACGGGCCGGCGGCCCTACGACGCCCCAGAGCCCCAGGAGCCGTACCAGTGCTCGTTCAAGTTTGACACGTTCAGCAAGGGCAGATCGCGGTTCTGGCTGGAAAATATGCACAATGTATAGGCTGTCTGAGCTTCGCGTGGACTTCTTGGACCTGCGCCGGGGCCTGCATGTCGGCGCCTCTGGCGCCGCCCCTGGGGCGCTCCGCGCGCCAGGGAGGGGGGCCAGCGCCGATCCAAAAAATCTGCGCGGACCGTTGTTGCATGTTGTTGCTCCTGAAGGTCCTTCTGGATCCACAAGGACATATGCCGCTTTCACGGCGACGAGACACGGGTGGCGGCCACACAGAACGTTACTCCTGTGTGCGTCAACGATCGCGTCGAGATCGCCGTGAACCTCTTCAACGCCATGGGCCTGGTTGACGTAAACCAAGTGCGCTGGCACCCGTTGGAGGTCTATCCAATGCACAGTCGCGAGTGCCCGATCGAGCAGGAGTGGGCAGCAGAATGGAGCCGCCCAAACGTGACCCGCCTTCATGTCTCCCACGGAGGTAGGTCACACAGTTCACGGGTCAAAGTGTTGCCGCAACACTGTTGTGGCCCATAGCGGGTGTGGAAATTGGTCTCTGGATTTACCTGGTGTTTCCGAGCTCGCGAGGGACATGACTTCCGAGGCCCAAAGTGCGCCCTCCGAGAAGCACAGACCAGCCCTGCGGAACTGGAGGAGTTTTGTCGCGTGTCCCCACCAGCTGCTTGGTGTAAATTAGTAAGGACCGCGCCCCGGACTTACCGACCCGCCGCCTGCGCCTTCGCTTTCGGCCGCGACCAAAAAAGTGTCCCCACCAGCCTTGCGCTGCTTTTCCCTTTCGCTACTGGCCCGGCCCGCCGTAGCGCGCTCGGCGTTCGACTTGCTTCGCGCGCCCGCTAACCAAAAAGGATCCCTACCAGCCCACCCAGACACGATCGCCAGGTGAGTTGCCTTTGTGAGGGCAGCGTAGAGGCATACAGTGCGACAGCCACCTTGGATGCCTCTTCTGTTTTCGAGGGCGGGGACATATGTTGTATGAGCCGTCAAGAAGTAGGTCGAACAAGTCGAGGTGGCGCCCATCTGGCACTCTGGGGGTCTTCTTTTGGTCCACTTCGACAAAGTTTGACCAATGTTGTTCCGAACAGGTTTAGAACCAGTCTGCTCATATTGCCCGACTGAGAGAGGAGGAAGAGGAGGAGGAGGAGGAGGGGGAGGAGGAGGCGGAGGAGGAGGAGGAGGAGGAGGAGGAGAAGGAGGAGAAAAAGCAGGAGGAGGAAGAGAAGCAGGGGGAGGAGGAGGAGGAGAAAGAGGAGGAGGAGGAGGTGGAGGAGGAGAGGGAGGGGGAGTGTGATGGAGGAGGAGGAGGAGGTTGCAAGCGTCCTGGATGTGTCACTCGTTGCCAGTGCCTTTCTGGACGGGTTGAAGACACCATCTGGTCATATTGCCCCTGATGCGAGAGGAGGAAGAGGGAGAGGAGGAGGAGAAGGAGGAGGAGGAGGAGGGCGAGGAGGAGGAGGACGAGGAGGAAGAAATATACGAGAGGACTTGGTGGGCTTTTGGGTCTCTTGGAGCGTCTTTGGCGCCTCAGAGGTACCTCTTGGAGCCTCTTAGGTCTCTCATGGGGGGCCTCTCGGGGGCCTCCTGAGGGCCTCTCTGGTGATGCTGCAGGCCTCCCTCGTGATGCTGGGCGCCCCTTTGGGTTCTCGTGGGATCAAAGAAGGGGGGGGGGGGGGGTCAGAAGTTCCCCTCCCCCCCTCCGGGATGGTCTCCTGGGGGCCGTGTGGGCCGATCCTGGGCGCCTTTTGGGCGCTCGTGGGGCCGCCGTGGAACCGTCTTGGGCCCCTCTTGGGCTCCTCCAGGGCCATCTTGGTGCCATCTTGAGGCCCAAGAGAGACTCATGGGGAGCGAAAGAGCGAGAAGCCCAACAACCTTCATTTTCCATAGGTTTTCCAAGGAATGTAGTCTCTTGGGGGGGTGACCTGGGAGGCTCGCAGGGCACTTGGAACCCTCTTGGAGCCATCTGGTGCCGTCTTGGACGCTCTGACGGCTCCCCCCCCTCCCAGGCCCAGGGGAGGGTGTAGGGAGAGATGAAAACCCGTCCCCCGAGCGGGGGAGGAGGGCTCCCCCGAGCAGGGGAAGGAGGGGTTGCGGCAGCGAGTTCCATTGGACCATTCAGCCCCGAAGGCCGGTGGGACTTTGGGCACGCCAGCGGTTGGGTTTTCTTCGAGAACCAACGGTAGTTTCCGCGGGAATTCTGTTGGAGAGGTCGCAAATGGTATCCTTCCAGCCCCTGCTGAGGGCGAGACGGCATCCTTTCGATTCCTTTCAGACGAAGCCTTTTTGCAGCGAACGTGTTTCCATCTGTGTATGCTCATGCCGCTGCTTCTGCCAATTCCCTTTTCCTCCCACCCGCCCTTCCCCTTCTGTGTCGGCTCTGTCTTGCCGCCGTGCGTGTCCTCATTGCCCATCGTTCTGGGGCTCCCTGGTGCTTTCCCCGTAGTGCTCCGCGGCGCCTCGATTGCAGGCCAATTGTTCGATTGCCCTGCCTAGGAGATGTTCGATTGGTACGACCTCGACAGCTTCCAGTCGCAGAGCGTCGAGAGGCTACAGATACCAGACTTCTTCAGCCCGCAGCTTGTCCACTGCTCCACCGAGTACGCAGGTGCCGATCGAGGAGTAGGAGGTGGAGGAGGAGTGGGAGGCGGAGGAAAGGAGACGAAGGGAAAGGAGGGGAATGTTGTCATGTCCTGTTAAGGAGGGGGGTCCGGAGGGGCCATGGTCTTCATAGCATTGCATTGCGTTGCGTTGCGTAGCATTTCATTGCAATGCGTTGCATTGCGTTGCCTTGCATCGTTCTCCTACTGTCCAGAACTTTGGCTTAGCGTGTCGCTCAGCCGCTTCTGGCCCACCTCGCTGTGGCGCGATACGTCAATTTTCGTCCCAAGCTGTTTTCAGCCTCCCGCACCGCGGAGCGGTGCGACACGATATCTGGTTGCAAGGCATAGCGTGTCGCCGTGGCCGGCGCAGCGACACGCTAATTTGAATCAGAATCTAGCCTGACGAAGGACCTTACCATCTGCAGCTGTGAGTATCGCAATTGTGAGCCTCGTCTTCGGTGGCGCTCCCTATGGGGCCACGAACCGCATGAGGGGCGTGCCAAAATGTGTGGCGGGGTACGCAACACGAGCGAAGACGATTGGTCTGAGTACGAGAGACTGAGCGCGGGTGAGTCTAATCGCGAGTGAGTCTGACTGTGAATGGGTCTGCGTGCTAGTGAGACAATTTGCATGAATGTGAGCATGGCTACACCTACGGTGGGGGCGTTTGTTCAGGAATTTGCCCAGGAGGCTTCAGACCCTGGAAGATTTCTTTATTGAATGAGGCGGCGGTGATACCCATGGCCACTCCACGATTAGAGTTCCGCGGTATTCCAGACCTTCGATTCCTTGCACAGCGGTTCCTTATTCAATGCGTTCAGCGTTGTGTAAGTGTGTATGAATGTGAACGGTTTGGGGACGCATGGCCCTGAGTACTCGTGGCACTGAGCGTGGCTGCCACAGGGAGCTGCCCCGAAACCCCGATGGCAGCGACCGCGCGCCGCGACGCCCATGTCGACACGCCCATCACGAGGTTTTCGCCTGTTTCCTTCCCTTGTGTTTCTCCCTCTTTGCCCCTGCACTCGAAGGTCCAAGGCTGCAAACGCAGCGCAGCGCGGAGTCACCGCGATACGCGCCGGTCGCCCCGAAGGGGTCCCAGCGACGCGCGCGGATCGTCCGCTGCGCGGAGCAAAGAGGGCTAGCTGGCTAGCTGATGGCGGGCAAAGATCTGGCCGTTGGGCACAGCCACGACGGGCGAACGAGGTCCTGGGCAGAGTGCCGCGCGGAGTTCCCGCGACGCGCGCTGTTCGCCCCTCGCGGGTCCCGGCGACGCGCGCGGGTCGCCCGTGGCGCAGAGCAAAGAGGGCTAGCTGGCTGGCTGATGGCGGGCAAAGATCTGGCCGCTGAGCAAAAAACGACGGGCGAGCAAGGCGCCGGGCAGAGCGCCGCGCGGAGTTCCCGCGACGCGCGCTGGTCGCCTCGAGAAGGTCCCAGCGACGCTCGCGGGTCGTCCGCGGCGCGGGGCCGATCTCCCTTGACGTGATGACAAGACCAGTCAGCAGTCAGCGACGATGGTGGGTTACGCTCAAAGTGTTTCGCCGAACGAGCCCGCGTGATAAACATGTAGCCATTGGACCCGAAAGTGGGCGGACGCAGGGCATGCAAACCAGGCGCTGCAGACGACTGTCCGAAACGCCCGCGCGCGCCCGCGCGCATTTGTTTCGAGCGTCAGCGGTGCAGCGAGGCGATGGGGGGGGCGGAGGCGGCAGCGGGCTCCTTTTTTCTTCCTCCTCCGTGATGGCGCCCTGGGGTATTAGTCGTGGTAGTAGTAGTCGTCGCAGTCGTAGTAGCAGTTGTAGTCGTAGCGGTCGTCGTCGTCGTTGTCGCGCGAGGTGCCGTGGAATGGAACAAATGTTTACCCCTTATTGGTTTGGTGGGACCAATGCTGTCAATAAGGCCACCAGGAACACTTTCAGGACCCTCCCCCTGTTTTCCCTTTTTGGGCCTCCTGGGGGGCCCTCGTCGCCGCCGCTGGATTCGCTTCGAAGTCCTGGTGAACTCGCGCCCTCGGGGGGGAGCAGCATTTGAACCTTTCCCCACGTGGGGGGGCTGCGCTGGCAGGGAAAGAAAGCGCGGGGCGAGGCGCCAGCAGGCGGGGCCCGCGAGCCAGTGCGACCGACGCACGTGGAACACCTTGTGGATCGCCAAAGGCGGCGCGCGGAGGTGGCGTGGCAAAAGAGGCCACAAGGACGCCCGCCGAGTCGGTGCCAGAGTCCTCACCGGCGAGGGGGCCGACGTCATCGTCACAGAGGGTGCGCCTTGGAGATCGAACGGGTGTGACAGGACAGAAAGCATCCTTGGGGGCAGAGCAGAAGCCGCACAGCGAGACAACCAGCGCTGCCTGCAGGGCGCGGAGCTCGAGCGGCGCGCCGCCTGGGCGAGGCGGCGGGCGGCCGGGGGGGGGGGCAATGGGCCCGCATAGGAGAAGGGGCCCCGGGGCGCTGCGCTCAGGGCGAGACCACCGAGCGAGGCAGACGCGGAAGTATCTGGTGGCGCGCGCGGCCCACCCAGAGGGTCACCCCACGGACCAAGCGCGGCTGCTGCAAAGAATGCGGGGGCTGGGGTTGCGAAGCAGCGGCGAACATCGCGGAAAAGAAAGCGGCGCGGGCGGCGAGCCACCTGGGTGAGGCGGCGGTTGTCCAGGAAGGTGGCGACGGCCGCCCCAGGGGGAGGGGGCCCCGGGCGCCACGGCCAAGGCAAGTCCACCAAACGAAGCAGCAAAATAGGGGCGCGCGACCAGCCCACAAGGTCATTCTAGGGATCAAGCACGGCATCTCTCAAGCTGCCAGGGGAAGGAACAACGCGGCCAAGATGAGGGGCCGCGGGGAAAAAAGAAAAGAGGCGCGCGACGGCAACGGGTGGGCAGGTCCGCACCAGCGCCGGGCGCTGGCGGGCGGAGGAGACGGCAGGGCTCTTCCACGGCGTTCCTCCGCGCGAACCTTCGGGCCAGGCTGGGTACCGCGCGGAGCCCCAGTGGTTGGGTGCGACGCTTCAGCGACGTTAGATCTGAACGCCGCGGGACCCAACGATTCTGGTCGGCCGCGGGGCCGCGAGGCGGCGCGTGGGCTAGCGCGCGGGGCGGGAATCTCGCGGTCAAGGTTGCGGCTGTCGGGCGCGCGAAGACCGGGTCGAAGTTGCGTCTGACAGTCACCCCGGGGGGCCTGGCCAGGCCAGCAGCAGCGGGATCCCTCGGCGGCCGGGGCCGGGCGCGCCTGCCCCGCGCGGAAGCGCGGCGACCCGCGGCGACCGGATGGGGAGCGGCGATCCATTTCGGCACCGCGCGGCTCAGATGCCGATGGCCCCTGATAGTGCCAGCGGTCTGCGACGCGGGCATCGTCGACGGCGCGAATAAGCGCGAGCGAGGGCGATTGGAATTCACCCGACGTAGATGCCCCCGTCGCCTTGGGGCGCCGATGAGGAAAGCGGGCAAAGCGGGCCAATTCTGCTTGGGGCACAGGGCCTCGCGCCGCAAATTGGCGAACGGCGAACCTTTCAACGAAGGGGGTCTCTTAGTTTTTGGAGGGGCCAGCTTCTTGAATAGAGGGGGCTGGGGAATGAGGGCCGCCGCGGGCCGCCATGTGGAGACCGAGCAAGTCGCCATGCGAATGCCGAGATGAGATGCGGCATTGGGAGCTGGATCGCACGCGCGCGCGTAATTTTCCGTCGCGGCGATGCAGAGGCGACCCGCTCGCGCGCCCAACGCGCGCGCGCGCACGCACGCGCGCGCACACATACACACAAACACTTTTTAGCGGTTGCGGCCTTGCGCGCAGCGCCGAGGCGGAGAGAGTCACTCAAAGGCGGGCGCGCCCGCGCGGGAAGCCTCTCAGAGCATGAATCCCGCGCGCAACGCACGCGCAAACGCGCGCGCACGCGCGCGCAGGCACTCGCGCGCGAACGCGAGCGTGCTTGCACGCGCGCGGCAGTCGGCGAGCCAGCGACGCGCGCGAAATTCCGCCGATACCCATGCGGCGCGGCAGGCGAGGGGCAACCTTCGACGCGCGGGGCGGGGGGGGGGGGCGGTGCAGGGCGCCGCGGAAGCGCGGCAGCAACGAGGACGCCAGTCACTGGTGACCAGCGCGGCCGGCGCATGGGCGAGAGGCCGACTGGGCAACCAGGCTGGCGAGGGGGGAACCCGCAAAACAAAACAGCCGAGGTCGGCAGATCAGGCACCGGGCGCGGCAAAGCGGCGGGGGGTGCCACAGGCGAGGGCGCCCTCCAGCTAGTGAAGGGGGGCCCAGGGGCCAACGGCGGGCGGCAAGTTCTAGCCCGCCCGAGGCACGCGCAGCAGCCGACCCCAGGAGGGGTGGCAGAAGGAGGGAGGGGGGCCGGCGAGGGCTGCAGCCGCCAGACCAGGGCAACGGCGGGCAAGGCGGAGCGCATTGGCGCGGCCCCCGGCGCCAGCCAGGGGCAAGCGGGGGGGGCGCCGAATAAGCGCAGCGGTGCGAGGGCGGAAGGGCGAAGGGGGAGCGCGGCCGAGAGCTACAGCCGCACCCTGGCCAAGGTCGGCCAGGCGGCGAGAAATGGCGCAGCCTTGACTCGGGCGTTGCGCGCTAACAATGGAAAATTACAACGTTGGGAGTGCGCGTCGATTTCGGCGTTACGCGCTGTGTCGACGCGTCGATATTCGAAGCGCGCGCGGCCTCGATGCTTCGATGGTTTTCGCGCCAAGAAAGTGACAGTTTTATGTGCCGGGAAGCCGCGTTCTGCATCATGCGTTAGTTGTTGTGTATGTGCTGGTCATTGCTTCGCGGAGATCGTTCCAAAATGTTGCCTTCGTCGCGAGATGCGTTGATGCGAGCGCGCGCTGTTAGCACAAGTGTTGCAATGCCGCCCGTGCGCTGCCAAAACGTCGGCGCTTGAAACCCGTGTTCGCACGCGCGTTGATCGTTTTGAAGTTGGATTTCCACAACGTCACTCGAATCAAGTTTGGACGCGACGCCTTGCTCATCCGACAGCGTCGCCACCTGTGTTAATGCAAGTCGTGCGTTCTCCAGCAAAACAG